GTCACCTCCTCCTTTACATTCACCAGAAATGCCAAGGTCATAGCAGCTCCTCCCCTCCTCTTGCTTGTCTTGGCTTCTGAGGTTCCTTTGGCTCTTAGATCCTTGCCTGTTGCTCCTGATCTCTCAGTTGAATTCTCTAGGTCCATCTTGAGATAGATACTGAACTTCAGCAAGCGCACTGCACAGTTTTAATTTTTTGCTTTTTAAAATTAAAATCTAACATTTTTATTATCTTTTTTCTTTTTTTTCTTCTTTCCTTTTTTCTTTGACTTTATTCATTGGCTGCTCAGCCTCTATGCACTAAGTGTCTAGACAGGTTCAAGTGAACAACATCCAAATATCTGAATACGATTAGGGTCAGAATATTCCTCTATTCCCACTGAATCTGATGCACAAAGAGTGAAAATGGAACAGAAGAGATATTGCAGATCACCTCCTTCTGCATACCTCTGAACACTCAGATTGAGCTTCAAGAATTAAGAAGAAATGTACCATCCATTAGATGACTAGAAATCACCACAGGGCCACAAGAAATATGAGAAAGCAAGAAAATACCTCTCTTCAGGACCAGCAGTTGGTGTAATGTCTATGTTGCTGGATTCCCATGTAGTCGACCACAGTTCAAGTCCCAGACCTGGTGGCTTAAACTCACACAAGTCACGTGTGTGTGTGTGCCCAAGATCCCGAAAGGAGAATGGAGGAGATGGGGTTGCGATGTGGCCATCCCCCCGGGGGATGATTTCTCATTTTCTGTCTCTCTGTCTTTCTCTGTTTTTCTAACGAGTGCATGCTCCCTATAGCAAAAACCTCTAAAAAAAAAAATAGAAAGAAAGAAAGGAAGGAAGAAAGGGAAAGAAAGAAAATACCTCTCCTCCGAGGGAAAAGAATAACTCCTCTTCATCCTCAGACAGTACAATGAAACTCATGGAAATGTCTGACAAAGAATTTAGAATATTCACAATGACAAAGCTAACAGAGATGGAAGAGAAGAGAGACAATGAACTGCAGAAGAAGCAGGAGAAAGGAGCTGATGAGTTCCAGGAGGTGAAGAAATTCTTGCAAGATCTAAAAGAAGGAAATACACACTATAAAAAAGAATCAAAAGGTCCTGTTAGAGATAAAAGTTATAATACAGGAAGTCAAAACCTCCCTTGAAAGTATTAAAAGCAGACTAGATCATACAGAAAATCGAATCTCAGTTGTAGAAGATAGAGTTGCTGGCCAAGAAAAATCCACCACAAAGACTGAGAAAATGGCCAAAAAAATGAGAATAATATACAAGAAATATTAGATACCATCAAACGTCCAAACATCTGGATAATTGGTATCCCAGAAGGCAAAGAGACTTGTAAGGGCACTGATAATCCGTTGTATGAAATCCTGCAAGGAAACTTCCCAAACCTAGAGAAGCATTCAAAGATTCAGTCACAAGAAATACAAAGGACCCCAAATAGAATCAACCCAAGAAGATCTTCTCCAAGACACATTATAGCCAGATTGACCAAAATCACAGACAAGGACAAGATACTAAGATTGGCAAGAGAGAAACGGCAAGTTACCTACAAAACATATCCCATCAGGTGGAGGAGTCTGACCCGGCGAGGCCCCAGGATCTGTCTGAGCCCCCCGACCTTTGAGCTCTGCTTCTGGTTGGATCAACAGGTTGGCAAGGCCACTGTTGTGCGCCCCCCGACCTTGGAACAAAGCTTGGGTCAATTAGTATGTCAGCAAGGCTGTTTGCTATTTGCTCCAGAAACTGTGGCAGCCTTGCTGGGAAGCGACCCCCCTCTGACTCCCCAATATACTATTATAAAAGAATTACATAGCTCTCTTATACATCCTGAGTGTACGATAAAATCTTCCAGGAAGTCCCCCGACCGCTCCCCTTTGCTCTGATCACTTACTATTAATTACAATGCTTTATCTCCATGGTCACAATAGAGGGTGGGCTGAAGTTCTTTCTAGGCAGAAGTAATCTTGACCTTTGGAAGGCCCTTCAAAATACATTTAAGGTAAACTTAATCCTTTCTTCATAAAATAGGATTAGGCCAAAACTGGCCCAGGACACCTCCGCCCTCTCCAAGTGAAACAGATAAATATATTAGGATTA